AGCTGTACCCCCTCCACCACCTGGCTCCAAATCACGAGCAGTAGCAACCAGGGCTGACAGCTCTGACGAAAAAAATATCTTGACTTGCAATACAATGTATTTTATTTGTTGGTGCTTCCATGGCTGTGGAGAATTCCCAGGTAACTCTTGACATGTGCATGGTTTCAAAGGCAGGCCTTCTATCTGCCGTGACTTAGACAGCCAGACAGGGAGATCTGGATTTAAGGCTGAGACCACCAATCAAGTCATCAACTAGCACCTCTCCCTGTACCTTCCTAATGCTGTGACCCTTTGATACAGTCCCTCATGTTGGTGACCCCCAAACATAAAATTATTTTCATTGCTTCTTCATACTGTAATGTTGATACTGTTATGAATCATAACATAAATACCTGTGTTTTCCAATGGTCTTAGGCGACCCCTGTGAAAGGGCCATTTGACCCACCCCATAAGGGATCGTGGCCCACATGTTGAGAACCCCTGCTCTATAACATCCTTCTCCACAGGAAAAGAGGAAAAAGTGGGATCTTCAATTGAAATCCTGGGCTTTCATGTTGCCAAAGACTTCTACTACTGGTCAATTGGATGAGAGAGGAGAAAATTCACTCTGAAAGCCACCCCCAAACACACTGTGACTTAGCTGTCACTAAGGTTTGGGTGAGAATTAAAATGTAGCCCATGTTTCCAATTAACAACGTCAAAAACTGAATCATAGACCTATTCTGTATCCCTTGCTAGATAGCCCTTGTTTGGAATCCCTCTTTGGTATGCAGAATGCATTTGACCTGCAGAGTTTTGCTCATTGGGCATCTGCTCTTGTCCAGTCTTTTATCTCCAGACGTAGAAGAAAAACGATGCCTAGACCAGTTGCTTGGCTAGTATGTGACAGAGCTGAGATGCCTGGACCAGGCTCCTCTTGCCATACCCCTGCCTCTGATGAGACTGGCCAGAGGGTCAGTTTTGTGGAAACTGCATGTGTCTTCCTCAGTCTATTTCTGAGGCCAGTTAGATGCTGGGGCTACTGGATACCCACTGCTAAGGCCAGCACTCAAATATACCAAGACTCATCGGAGGCTACCAGAGATTGCTGCACCAGAGTCAGGCACAGGCAGTTCTGTCTGGATAGCAAGCTTGTGTATTTTCCATTTCTATTTTGGAAAGCCTGAAGGACTGGTGGAGTCTGTGTCAGGTGCCAAGGTCTCCTCAAGACCCTTCTGGAAATAGTCACTCTTGCTGTCCTTGGAAAGTGACAGAGAATCATTTGGTGGGTTTCTTTCTTTCTTTCTTTCTTTCTTTCTTTCTTTCTTTCTTTCTTTCTTTCTTTCTTTCTTTCTTCCTTCCTTCCTTCCTTCCTTCCTTCCTTCCT